CCCCACGTGAACATAATCGATATACAACGATTAACCTCTATAAAATTCGCTTATAAAACCCACCCAAGTTAACTATTAGAGCTAAACCCGGCACTATTTGTATAACGCTCTCCCAAAACAATAGTAATATTTGGTGCCGATTGTGTAGAATAGAACAAATATTCCTTCGAAAAACCCTAAAAGAAATCAAATAAAATGGCTCAACACCCAATGCGAACCTTGGCTGCGCAAATTGCCGCATTAGTACAACAGATGCAAGCACAACCCGCTATACAAGTAAATGTTCCCGGAAACGGAAGGGAATTAAGTAACATACCCTATCCGGAATTTAGCGGAGGGAACCAAGACCCGATAACATGGCTCGAAGACGTTGAAAAGGCCTTCGAGGCCAACTTGATCCAGGACAACTGAAAAATTGCGGTTGTCATTCCAAAACTTAAGGGCCCTGCCACTACGTGGTGGATTACAAGGAGAGTTCAAAATCCTCTCATAGACCGATGGCACGACCCTAACGTTCCTCAACAAAGTTTCACGGCTAACTTTGTTGCCAAATTCAGGACTCCGGTGTTGGAAGGCAAATGGTTTGCCCAATTAACCCAACGAAAACAACTGCCCGGGGAAAACGTCGACGATTACCACACCTCCATAGAGGAAATAATAAGACGAGTACAATCGGGTGGACATCAATACCCCGATTCAGCTAAGGCCCAGATGTTTATTAATGGGCTTCACCCAGAATTATTTATGGCCATATCACCACTAACCCCTAACACATTGGAGGACGCTTACAATAGGGCTAAAGCGTTTGAAAACGCTTATAAGAATAACCCGGCGTACCCTGCTTTTATGGCTCAACCTGTTGGGTATCCCTCTTATAATATCCAAGGAGTAACGCCCACCATAAACCCAACTACAAACGGGACAGAAGAGGCTTTGAATAAACTAACGGAGGCTATTAACAAGATGATATCCCTCCAAGACCAGAGAAGACCACCTCGACCCCGACAACCTGGACCCAACACAAACTATAACACAGGAATAACATGTTACAGTTGTAGTCGTCCTGGACATATCAGTCGTCAATGTCCTAATCAAATCAACCCTATCAACCAGAGACCACCAATGGTAACCACTCCTATGAATCAAGGTCCCCCAGCCCAAACTAACCCCGCCACCAATAATATTAATGGTTCGGGTTCTCAAGAAACCCTCCAGGCATTATTAGCTATGTTGAATAACTCAGCACCAACGAATAACCAAGAGGACCAGGCCTCATATGTCGGGATATATGAAGGGGACAAATCGTTGTTCCTTCCAGCGGATAGACAAAGCCGGCAAAAACCCATAAGTGGTACCTCGATACTCCGAAAGAAAAATGGAGTGCAGAATCAAGATGACACCACAGGTTTAGGCGAAACCGAAGGACTCCTAATTCTGGATATCGACGTAGTTATGGAGGATGGTGGAAATAATCAAGAGCAAATAGGAACGGAACT